AAAATTTTTGTTGATTTAGAGAACTGTACTGATTGACTTTCAAATGATAAAACAGTCCTGTGTCCCTAAAATAAACCCCAGATAGTCTGGATTGTTATCTTTTCAATATAGAAAACTATATATCACAAGGAAATATTTTCTTGAGAATGTTTATATCTATGTTCATGAAATAAATTATTCTGTAATTTTTTAAACTTCTTTGTCTGGATTTGGCACCAGGGTTATGTTTACCTCATGCAATGACGTGCTAGGATTTCTCCAACCACTGCTATTTTAAATAGTATTTCTTCCTTGAAAATACTTAGTGGAATTAGTCTGTATGTTTTCCATTTAGACTTGTATTTTTTAAATTTGTGTTGGTGGTGATTTTTAAAAATCATAAACCTACAGATCTAAAAAGTTTGGATTTCTGGTTTCTTGGTACTACCCTTTAATTTATAACTATTTCCAATAGAAATAGCCCCTTTCATATCTGAGTAGCTACTTTCCTGTAATTGATTGGACTCAAAGAGCATACATGCTATTCAGATCACTTTCAGTCTGAACTGATATAATTTTTCTTAAAATGTGTGAATATTTTGTGTATCAAATAAAAATACACCCTGGAAAGCAGTTGAGTACTTGCTCCCAGCATATGTTGTCAATTTGGCTCTAATAAATACACATAAATGCACCCCTATGTTCATAGCAGCACAATTCACCATAGCTAAGATCTGGAAACAGCCTAAGTGTTCATCAGTAGATGAATGGATTACAAAACTGTGGTACATCTACACAATGGAATACTATGCTGCTTTAAAAAATAAGGAACTCTTACCATTTGCAACAGCATGGATGGAACTGGAGAGCATTATGCTAAGTGAAATAAGCCAGTCAAAGAAGGAAAAATACCACATGATCTCACCCATTTGTGGATAATAAAGACCATAATAAACTTTTGAACAAAAATAGATACAGAGGCAGAGCTGCCTCGAACAGACTGTCGAACTACAGCGGGAAGGCCGGGGAGGGTTGGGGGGCAGGAGGGGAGGGGGTAAGAGATCAACTGAAGGACTTGTATGCATGCATATAAGCATAACCAATGGACATAAGACACTGGGGGGTAGGGGAGGCCGGGGAATTGTCAAGGGTGGGGAAAAAAAAGGAGACATATGTAATACTCTTTGTAATACTTTAGGGCAATAAAAAAAAAGAGAAAAAAATAAAAATAAAAATAAATAAAATAAAATAAAAGTTATCTTCATAAAAAAATCTTATATAAGAATTTAAGATAATAATCATATATAATAAAAGAGAAACATGCAAATTGACCATACCCCTGAACACTTCCCATTGGCTAATCAGGATGATATGCAAATTAACTGCCAACCAAGATGGCGGCTGGCAGCCAGGCAGCTGAAGTGAACAGGAGGCTTGCTTGCTCCAGTGATGGAGGAAGCCAAGGTTCCCCACCTAACACCACCCAGCTCTTAGCTCTGGATGCAACAATGTTGCAATTATAGAAGTTAAACAAGCTCCAGAAACCTGCTCTCAGCAGCAGCGGGCTCAGAGCTTAGAGCAGCAGTGATGGCAACAGAGTTTCAATTATAGAAGCTAAACAAAGCCCAGATATCTGCTTTCAGCAGCCGAGGCCTCAAGCTGGAGCCGGCCTCAGAGCTAAAGCCGGCTCTCAGCTCCAGTGACAGCCATAGAAAGTAAATGAATCCCAGGATAAAAAAGAAAAAAAGAAAAAAAGGAGAGGCTGGGAACTTCAGTCACCCGTCAGCCTGAAAACGGCCCTCGGCCCCTCACCCAGACTGGCCAGGCACCCCCGTGGGGACCCCCACCCTAAAGGGGGTGCGGGCAGCCTAAAAACAGCCATCAGCCCGTCATCCAGGCTGGCCAGGCACCCAAGCAGGACCCCCACCCTGATCTGGGACACCCTTCAAGGCAAACCAGCCGGCTCCCACCCGTGCCCCAGGCCTCTATCCTATACTACAGGCAGGGCGGGACAGCGCGAGCTGCCATCCGGAACCCATGTGCAGCCCTGGGCAGCGGGGCATGAGCACCGCCCCCAGCCGGGACCCCTATGTGCCACCTGAGCCCCCAGCCGGGACCCCCGTGCTGCCTAAGCCCCGCACTGCTAAGCCCCACTCCCAGCCAGGACCCTATGACTATTGGAGAGCAGAAAGTGCTGCTGGGCCCTGGGTCGCTGTGGTGATCTGGCCATCGGTAAGTAGAAAAGTGCAGCCTGTAGGCAGCCCCCAGCTGCGCCTGATCAGGGAGCAGGAAAGCCCAGCCTGCGGACAGCCCCCAGCTGGGCCTGCTCCCCCATCACCATGGCGATCCTGGAGCAGGAATGCCTGGCTTACAAGCAGCACCCCCATCTGGCCATAGCTCAAGGGAGAGTACAACATGCAGTGGAGGCCAGGAGCCTGAGGGATCAACACAGAGGGGCTCCTGCTCCAAGCCTCCATGGTGTGGCTGGGGGCAGGCCCCCAGCAGACACACACACACACACACACACACACACACACACACACACACACGGGACACCTGCTCTGAGCCTCTGCTGCCAGACTGTGGCCATCAGTAGGACATCCACTGAGGGCTCCAGGACTGTGAGAGGGGCAGGCTGGGCTGAGGGAACCCCCACCCCCCAGTGCACGAATTTCGTGCACCAGGCCTCTAGTAATAATAATAATACTAATAATGCCCTATTAAATAAAGGCCACACCCACAAATCATTTTGAGATAAGCATTTTTCTATATTGGGCTGGTGAGGCTGCCATGGAATAGCATATTTAAGTAGCCTTTTTATTTGAGAGTTTTGTAAGGCATTCCAATACAATACTTAGAAGGATTTTGTTTAGATAAAGATATCTAAGAGGCATCACTTCAAGTTTTACTGAGATTGTCACAGAAGGATTTTTACATTCATGTGCTTGAGTTAATTTTATTTGAGAACAAATTTTATTGCTTAATATCTCAAATTTGGCTGTTAGACTTTTTTTTACTTTAAGAATATTTTTCTAGAACATATAGGAATAATAATTATTTTCTTTTGCAAACCAAAAAAAAATAATAACTGCTTTACCTTTGCTCTACATTTTCCTTAAAAATTGATTATTACCATCTTCTTATATTTAATCATAGGTAATGTAAGTCACCTACCTGCAAATCTTTACAATCTACCTAGAAATCTTGCCAATCAGAACTATGAATTATATTTTCCACATTACCACAGCCAGTAATGATGCCAAGTAACTCATTAATTCAAAATAAAACTAAATTTTCCAACTTATAATAATATTATTTTGAATTGCTCACCAACTGTCTTCTGAAGACAGTTTTATCATATACTGATAGTTTTCAATAGTTTCCTAGAGTTCTTTCTACCACACATCATCCAATGCCAAAGCTAATGCCACACATATTTAGATACTTGTTATATAAGTACATCTTCTGGTATCAAATTATTTTCATTTACATATGATAAAGATATATAGATGTGATGGATGTATGATGGTAGATAGCTAGATAATAGATAGCTAGCTAGCTAGCTAGCTAGATAGATAGATAGATAGATAGATAGATAGACAGAGGGAGCTGTGTAAGCAACTACAAATTTAGTAACTTAAAACATTCATTTAAAATTGATCATTGTGTGGGTCATCAATTTGGGAAGGGCTTAGTTGTGTAGTTGTGGTTTTGTGCCTCAACGTAATCAAATTTCATACAGAGCAAATGAGTTTCAACAGAATAAGTGGTCCGAGAAAGAGAACCCAGAATTTATATTCTAAAAGACCCAGTCAGAATCCGTAGTAAGACTATGGCAGTCCCAGAATCTCACTTGTGAACATTTTATTGATTAATCATATCACTAAGGTCAACCTAGATTCTAGCAAAGGAGTGGTCTCCTCTGCTCACTGGGGAAATGGCATGTGTGTGGATGAACAGAAGCAATTAATTTCAATTGATTTCACCATAAGCTACTGCCAGTTAATTGTTACTACTAAAATGGAAATAGTTTGATAATGCTTAAATATTATAATGTTTTAATTTAGTAATCTATTACACATGGTCTTAAACAATGAAATGAATGTGGAAATGTTATGAACTATCTTTGGCACAAAATCTGGAAAAACCTGCTTTAATTATGTGCAAATTTAGGTTTTTATATAAAGTCTGGCCCTACGCATCATTAGATATGCTGGTTTGCTCCAAGATCCATTCCTGCAGTGAACAAAAACAATTATAGGATACTACATTCCCCAGTTCATCGACTATTTGTATTCTAGTTAGATTTAGCCAATGGAAGTCACTGGATACAATTTAGAATATCAGAAGAGTAAAATATCCATGGTTTTTATCCCCTTTCCTCTCCTACATCACTAATAATGGCTGTGAATGCTCCATATCTCTACCTCCTGCCAGACAGCACCTCTCCTTGTAATGTACATACTAATATATAGATTTGACTAAAGTTATATGTCGTTCCACATGGCTCAGATTCTGGTTCCAGAAATGTCACCTCCTTTTATTGTCCCAGTAGGCCCAAGAAGTAATGGATTTCTGCTGTTGCTAATCTTGAGTTTGCTTCACAATACTCTGATTGGTTTTTATCTCTGCTATTAACTATGTTCTATTACATTACTCTCTGTAAGTAAAGCATAAGTTAAATAGACTGTCAAACCTCAGAGGGAAGGTAGGGGAGGGGAGGGGTAAGGAGGAGAGATCAACCAAAGGACGTGTATGCATGCATATAAGCCTAACCAATGGACACAGACAACAGGGGGGTGAGAGCATGAGTAGGGGGATGGAGGGGCAATGGGGGGATAAGGGCACATATGTGATACCTTAATCAATAAAGAAAAAACATGACTATATATGATTTACTATTTGATGTTCAGACATAATCTAAATATAATAGACAAAGCAGCATTTATTTCTTTAATTCAATAAGTTAAGATGTGTTTTAATTGTGTTTTCAATTTGCTTTTAATACTTACCAAGGTTACGGGCGTGGCCTGCTGTTGTTGCAACAGCTTGAAAATTGCCACTGTCAACACTCCCGCCAGGAAATGAATCTTCTACATTTTGGCAATTTGGAGGTAAATACTTGGGGTTACAGTGGCAGTTTTTTTTATTATTGCATACCTGAAAACAGGAAAAAATGTCACTTTATAGTATAAATAGTTCAAATTATTTGTGTACAAGTAGAACTTTAAAATAATACTTAAGTCAGATAAGACCAATTTTCGTATGTGGCTTATGAGTACATGAGTGTGTGTGTGTGTGTGTGTGTGTGTGTGTTTAGCTGTGTGTGTGCTTTCCTAGGACCACTCTCAATGATACCTATTCTTGTGTATCATAAGACTGGTACTTACACCTTGATTGTTGCATTTTTGTGGAGTACAGTCATAATTCAAGTCATTATCTATACACTTCTGTTGCCTGCACAACTAAAAAAAGAAATAAGCCAAAGTAAGTTAAAGGAAATGGCATCTGTATTTGTCATCTAATTAAGGGATATTCGTTTAAGAATAAATATTAATTTACTAAAAATCAGTGAATAATTTATAGTGCTACTATGTTTTTAGCACTAGATGAAACTCTGATTATCTGAGAGTAAACAAAACATTAAAAACATCTTCCCTGCTTTTGCTGGGATGGAAGGTACAGACCTGAAATAAATAAAATCAAAGATTAACATGTGATAACTAGTATAATGAAAAAAAATAATTAAAAATACAGGGAATTTACTAATATATGAGAAAAGTAAAGTAGTATGGAGCACTAACATTGAACAGAATTTAATCAAGAATAGAAATGAAAGACAGGTACTTGTAGAAAAATATTTAAAATGAACCTAAATAGTATGGAACCTTTGAAAAATATTAAGGGAAATGTAGCTATTACACAGAAAACAGCCATTGAATGATTGATTAATATTTGAGTTCTACAATGTGCTTGGCCCTGAAAACACACGCACACACACACACACACACACACACAATTCTATTGTTCATATTACAGTAAAAAATATAGAAACACAAACACAGACCAAAAAAAAAAATCCCTAAGCATGATGGGACTGAAGTTGTTATGGTAGGTTTGTGTAGGACCCTCTGATCTCAATCAGAAAGTTGGCCTATTACCTATAAGCAATTGGTTTTATTTATAGATTTAATTGAAAATGGGAAACCAATAAAAGTAGGTTTTGGAAAAGAAGATGGAAAGGCAAAAGAAAATGTAGAGAGATAAATTAGAATGTCATTACAATAGTCCAGGAAAATAACCATAGAGTGAAATTGAGTGGTATTAAACTTTAGATGAAGACCAGTAGTTATATTTAAGATATAGTTAAAAAGTTTAATCCACCTAAGTTTAGTGATATATATGATGGAAAGAGAGATGGGCCAATGACAACAAGGTTTCTAGGTTGTCTAACTCTTTTGGTTGTGGTACAATTAATTGAAATAGGGAAAGCTGGGCATAAAGTTCAAAAGTTTACAATATTATTTTTAAAGACTTCTTTCAACTTGTAATATTAAGTAAAACTATGCTTTAAAAATGAAAAATAGGCTCGACCAAGATGGCGGCATAGGTAAACACCGGAGACTGCTGCCGCAAACAACCACTTCAAAAATACAACTAAAAGACGGAACGGACATCACCCAGAACCACAGGAAAGCTGGCTGAGGAGAGACTCTTCAACTAGAAGGAAAGACAGCAGCGTCCCGAGGTTCAGAGGAGGCCAGTGTGGAAAATTTAAAGGTGCGGAGGTGCGCGCGAAAAGCGGGCTGGTGGCTGAGGGCACAGTTGTCGTTTTCGGTCGGGAGTGAGTCTCAGACTTTGGGCTCCAGATCCGGGCGAGTCTCTAGGGACTCAGACTCAGATGGGAGAAGCGGGATTGTCCGGCATCAGTTGGAACCTAAGGGCAGCTTTCTCTCCGAAGTTTGCAGCGGCTGCCGGGGTTCTGAGAAGCAGAGCCTCGGGGAACGGGACTGAGAGCAGCCATAACTGCTCCCTCCGCCCGCCCTGTTGATCCCGCCCCGCCCAAACCCTGCGCAGAGCCATTTGCCGATTGCCTCAGGCAAAGGCTAGATTAGCACCTCCCCAGAGGACAGAAGTTTTCCAGGGCAGACACAGGTGATTCTCACAGCCAGTTGGCCTGGTGGTCAAATCCCTCTAGTATTAACTACAACAATCAAGGCTTAACTAGAACAAGACTGCGCACAAAAACCACAAGGGGGTGCACCAAGAAAGCATAAAAAATGCGGAGACAAAAAAACATGACAGAAATGGAGGACATGGAGCTAAAAAACGCAATTTTGAGGGCTTGCAATAAACTTGTGGAGAGCCTCACGAAAACTAATGAGACCCTCGATGCTACGATACAGAAACTAGAAATTAAGCATACACGGACTGAAATAAAGAATATTATACCCAATAGCAGACCAGAGGAGCGCAAGAATCAAGTCAAAAATTTGAAATGCGAAGAAGCAAAAAACACCCAACTGGAAAAGCAAAATGAAAAAAGAATCCCAAAATACGAAGATAGTGTAAGGAGCCTCTGGGACAGCTTCAAGCGCACTAATATCAGAATAATAGGGGTGCCAGAAGATGAGAGACAGCAAGATATTGAAAACCTATTTGAAGAAATAATGGCAGAAAACTTCCCCCACCTGGTGAAAGAAATGGACTTACAGGTCCAAGAAGCGCAGAGAACCCCAAACAAAAGGAATCCAAAGAGGACCACACCAAGACACATCATAATTAAAATGCCAAGAGCAAAAGACAAAGAGAGAATCTTAAAAGCAGCAAGAGAAAGAGGCTCAATTACCTACAAGGGAATTCCCATACGACTGTCAGCTGATTTCTCAACAGAAACTTTGCAGGCCAGAAGGGAATGGCAAGAAATATTCAAAGTACTGAATACCAAGAACCTACAACCAAGATTACTTTATCCAGCAAAGCTATCATTCAGAATTGAAGGTCAGATAAAGAGCTTCACAGACAAGGAAAAGCTAAAGGACTTCATCACCACCAAACCAGTATTATATGAAATGCTGAAAGGTATCCTTTAAGAAGAGGAAGAAGAAAAAGGTAAAGATACAAATTGTGAACAACAAACATGCATCTATCAACAAGTGAATCTAAGAATCAAGTGAATAAATAATCTGATGTACAGAATGAACTGGTGATTACAATGAATCAGGGACATAGAAAGGGAATGGACTGACTATTCTTGGGGGGGAAAGGGGAATGGGAGATGCGGGAAGAGACTGGACAAAAATCGTGCACTTATGGATGAGGACAGTGGGTGGGGAGTGAGGGCAGAGGGTGGGGTGGGAACTGGGAGGAGGGGAGTTATGGGGAAAAAAAAGAGGAACAAATGTAATCTGAACAATAAAGATTTAATAAAATAAAAAAAAAGAAAAATAATGTTTACTGCACTCATAGAAAGCCTTAGGGTAACTGATAATAAACCAAATACACATAATTGGAAATATTATTTTTACAAAAGTTTTCTAAATAACATTGGCAATATTTCCTTGGGATTCTTTTCTCTTAAAATATGTATGACCATAATGTACTAATTTTTAAGGCCAGAGAGTGAATAGAATCTGCTCACATAGATTTTGCTAAACATTACTGAGCATGGGGAATACATTATTGATAGTATCTGATAATTATAGCAACACATAACTCTAAGACTTAGAAAGAAATATACTGATGACAAGTATAGTCAGGTTAGTTTGAGTGGTTGTGGAAATAGTCTAAATATTCTAGCTCTGGATAGAGATTAGTGTGCCTGCAGTTAAAAACATATCTCTTCTGTTAGAATGATCCCTTAACAACTAACTAGAACTTAGGCAGAGAAGTTAGATATATAATTATCAGAGCTGTTGTCCAGAAGAAGATAAACCTAATTCTCAGAATTGTTAAATAAATTCTTTACGTCACACTAGAAAGTTGAGAAGGAATTATTGATATTGTTTCTGTGCAATAAAATTATTTTTTCTGATTTATCCTGTTTACTTCTGTTATATCATGGAGGAAGGCTAGGGAGAAACACCATCCAAAGTAGGAATCTATAAAACTGCAAATTCTTATCTCCACATAAGAATAATATAATGAAAATAGTTGTTCTTCATCAAACTATCCTAAACACATATATTTTTTAATTTTTATGAGACAATAAATATAATGCATCTTCTTATTCTTGTCACTTAGGCATAGTATGTTTCTGTAGAAACATTCTTGTATGGAGTGCCTAAAAT